TTTTTCGTTTTAACATTTAGTGTGCTCATTTGATAAAGGCTCATCACCTGATATCCCCTGTTCATAAAGCTGGTTGATACACATGATATCATTGGCCTATTATTCACTCACCTTTGGTTCATGGATAACATTAGCCAATGATGTCACTCGTATCAACAAGCTCTAGATATCAGGTTACAAACTTTAAAGCATCTTTTTCCTGACAGAAATTTAACACACAGCTGTCAATTTTTCCCGACACTGATTATGATTAAAAAGGTTTTTCTTTCCATTTTTTGTTTATTATTATAAAAACATAAGTGAACATAGTGAAACTTTTTGAGTTTTCCCCTTCAATCACTTAAAAGTGAATTTTGCACTTATATGAAAGAATGTTGGCAATTCTTGTGACTAGTGATTTGAAAAATTCAAAATGAAAAAATGTTGAGTTCCTAAACTTATTTTCAATTCCAAAAGGCTGCCAGAATAAAGACTGAATGTTACGGGAAAATCCCAAAGTCATATTGTTTCCATGGAAACAAGTTTGGGTATACTCTTTTGTTTTAATTAATGGAATTTTTCTCCAACAACGCAAAATTTCTCCAATAACACAAAATCAGGAAACAAGTTTATAATATATCATTTGCATCAACAAGTTAAGCGTAGGCAAGCAAATAAACATTGCAAGACCCGAGTAAACGTTTACTTGTTTAATAGCTAGGCACAAAATTAAATAATATATATATATATATATATCATTCATATGCTAGCATTGAACATATTATTATCAATATAAATGTCACATATGTATCACATGACCATCATCCACAGCAGTGACATTTAGTGTGAAATGTCCTCGCTGATATTATGAGGTAAACATCAAGATACCCTCGTTATATGTCATCATTTGATGTGTGATGTCATCATTTGATGTGTGATGTCATCATTTGATGTGTGATGTCATCATTTGATGTGTGTTTTACCAATACACCAAGAAAAAGAATTGTCTGGTGATATCATTTTTGGATATTATGTGAATTTCCCACTGGTACTCGCATAGTGCAATTGCGAACTCGTTAATAATGCTTTATAATGAATGGTTTGTTTATTTTGGACATTTTCTGTCTTTTATCAAAAACTATCAGCGATCAACTTTCTGTCATTTATCGAAAACTATTAGCGACCACAATTGCAAATGCGCATCCACTAATGTGTGAATTAACATATATGCTTCATAACCAGTTGAATATTCTCTCTCATTCAGACATGTTTTCATTTCATAGTGGTTGGTAACAGACTGGGTGTGACTATTACTGCCGATGACTGCATCTCCCTTACACTGCTCAGCGTCAGACCCATCCCAACTGTCTTAGCTTGAAAATAGAGGCTACAATAATCAATCCATTACGAAATGTTCCCACAAGATTCCTACTAGTACTGTAAAATCTGTATTAAAAGCCGCGGCTTCTATTAAAATGGTACAATACAATGGGGGGGATGCGGCTTCTATTAGAGCATCTACACATATGAGAAATGGTGAATTTTTGGGTCTCAATTGTTCAAAAAGAATGGGTGCGGCTTCTATTAGGGATGTGGCTTCTAATACAGATTTTGCGGTACTATCAACACAACAAACCCATTCCCTTAATTTTATAAATATTTATAATTTCACAATTGAAACTGAAACAAGAAGTTTCTATTGGCCATATGAATTACATTTAATCATTTTCAAATCATTTGGAGTTCAACTGACATTGAAATTTTTAATTTTCAAACAATGAAGGAAATGGATGTTTTCTGTAGTATTTCTTATAAAATTAATTATCCTTAGCTGTATGTCTTACCTTTTGGTATTGTAATGACTCCCAATTCATATCCTTGAAGACGTTGTAATGCCACTTTCTGTAATGTAATTCTCTCCATGTCAGATACATATGGTAATAATGTATTTGTAAGTTGAACAGTACGCCCACTCATACTAACCCACCGACAATTACCCTGAAAAAAAACATGATATAGAGGATAAATATAATGCAAAATGCTTTTGTATATAACAAAATTTAAAGTGAGAGAGTCGTCACCTATGCATATGGAAGACGGCAATAGTGTGTTGTTTATTATAAATGAGCGTCTACCAATGAATTTTTAGTGTGCATCGCTGAGAATTCAATTCTTGTGCATTCGCGGATGATGACCCCTCCACTTTTAACTAATCATTTTATTTCAGCTAACATTGTGATCTAGACTTTTTGCAGAATTCGCTTAAAAGTCATCAAATTTACTCATATTTTATGTAAATATACATATGTGACTTATGTTGTTGTTGTTACACGTATATAGAATCTTTGGTTCCTTTTGTTGATTCCCATGTGCGAGTCACACAATGGAAGTTTATTGGGTTTATTTGTCGATCTGTGTGTGTGTACGTCTGTTCCACGGATATCTTAAAAACCAATTGTCAAATTCCAATGAAGTTTGGTACAGATGCTCTGGAACAATGCATATGAGTTTTTTGTTTCAATTTGTGCATATTAATTAAACTAATTTGCATAATAAGTACCCAGCTTTCAGCTTTTATTCTATATCTCAAGAACCACAGATTTTAATGAATTTTGGTACAATAGTAATCCACATACTTAATAAAGATTAGCTTTACGTTCAAATTTTTAAAAATTATATATCTGATTTACATCTCTTCTGGGGTATTCAACAGATATTTCAAGAAGCACTCTGGGGTAAGTCACATAAGTGATTCATTTAAAGTTGAAATTTGTGCATACTAAATACCTAATTTGCAACATTAGCAAATCAGATGTTCCACAGATATCTTCAATACCACTCATTAAATTCAAATGAAACTTGTTATAATAATTTAGGTGCATGCATAATTGTTTTTATGTCAAAAATTTTTTTTTAAAGATTCAGTCTGTATATACAAAGAATTTAATTTTGGGTTATATGCACTTCTATAAGAGATGTGCTTCTAATATAGCAAATACAGTACATAAAAAAAATGTAAAAAAAAATTGTAAAATCTGTATTAGAAGCCATGGCTTCTATTAAAATGGTACAATGCAACCAAGTGAATGCGGCTTCTATTAGAGCATCCACACGTATGAGAAATGGTGAATGGGTGCGACTTCTATTTGGGATGCGGTTTCTAATACAGATTTTACAGTACTTGAAATTACTATATATAGCCCGGTAACCTGGTTTAATTGGGTTCGGTTCAGTGGCCAGAATATATGTCACATACATATCCCAGTGTACATGTACAAGTACATTGAGGATATCATCTTTCAAACTACTGTAAAATGGTTAACTATTCAATTGGGTTTTAATTTGGCTTATTTCGCTGACTGGAAAATGCGCTAAATTAAAACCCAGTGAATATGTAAAATTTAGCATAAAACATATTATCTAAATGATAAAACCGTGAATTTAAAACCCACTGAATATGCCTGAAATGATAAATCAGTGAAATTTAAACCCAGTGAAAATTAGTCATTTTACAGTATTCAGTCTACTTATCTGATTCACATTGTTTTCTTTCTAACTATCTAACTATCAAAGCAAATTGGCCGAAAATATTTTAAGCCCCAGGTCGATCTACTATAGATTACGGTATGTCAATGTCAAGGTCACTTAAACTTGAGCAGTGCAGGTGATATACTAATCTTTATCATAAAAACATCGTAAACTGATGGAATGCAAATTTCACTACAAATTTTTGTTTGAAAGAGGATATTAAAAACAATGATGTTATTGATTTGTGACCTCGCACGTCTTGCTCGAATAATATAATAATCATAATACAGCGTAAATATGAGTATCTTTGGATAGGATTTCCTTTGCTAGAGGCTAGCATGTTATTAACTTATCTGTACGTGAATAGAGGACTCTAAATCAAAGAACTCAAAACATTCTACATATCAATATAGATGACGTTCCTACTATAAAACATGAAGCTAATTTACGACACGTTGTGTTAACCAATAAATTGTGATTGTAGTATTTGTTGATATTATAACTGATAAAAAGTCTGTGTTTTTCAAAGGCAGTCAGGCTTTCAGTTATTTTTCTGAAACATATGCTGATAATGCAATACACATTTACAGTTAATGTCTTGGTTAATTGTGAAAGGAATTAAACGTGAATTAATAAAAGACTGTATTTGTTCTATTGGAAGCATATTCCAATGGCGTGAGCCCCCTCCCTGCCAACTCACCGTGAACCATTTACGTCAACCCATTTCAAGGTTTCATTCAAATGAAATTGAGTTTTCAACTTAAAAGTTTGCCTTGATACCTATTATAAATACAGACGTTTATAATATTAACTGATTTCACTTTAAACTTGCCATTAAAAATTGCTGAACATCACTTGCCTTGATATTTGGGGGGTTTGTGAGAAATATTCGAATAGATCACCATGGTTACACAATACACAAATACACTGTAAATCGTTCAAATTAAATCACAAGATATTTTGTCATAGTTCATAATTTAAGGGCATAATGCAAAAACATATTAAAGTCACTGTATAAGAACCCCAGAGAAATCTCCACTGCTACAATATTTTATCATTTCCAGACTTATGAAATCGATAAAAATGTATTTCTGTGAACCAGTTTTATTGTTATCTTCTAGAAAAACATAGAAAAATGATGATATAAAAAAACAAAGCAACTGTCTTCTAGTTTCTCTCCTAAGACACAATGAAAGGGGAGTTGATAGAAATTTTGTAAAAATGTTTTGTTTGTAATTTTCTTTAAAAGATTTTGTTATCCAAAATTATTTCTCTACAGGTTTTGTTCCCCAAAATCTAGCTCCCTCTGACTTTTTGAGCAAATAAACGAATTTTGAGCAAATAAACGAATAGCTTTAGGAAATATACAATAAGATTACGTTGATCTATTTAGAAGACAAATCCCCTTCCCATCACAAGACTTTTGGCTCAGAGTACCAATGATAATGTTAAATAAATAAATAAAATATTTTGAACTTAAGATTAGACAATAAAATAAGAAACCTGTCAAATGATATAGGTCTGAGCAAAGGCAGTGACGTTGATAAATTATGATAAATACAACTGTACAGGCAAAGGAAATAAATTTGATTGTACAACTGTGGCAGAGCAAATCAAAGAAAGCTTAGAAAGAACTCCTGTGTGCTGCGAGTATTGGAGACACATTAAAATTAATTCAAAAAGCTGAAAATTGGCTAATTATGCAAATTATTGATTAATATGCACAAATTTTTACCCAAAATTAATCAGGTCTGTGCATTGTTCTAGAGCATCTATGTGCCAAGTTTCATTGAAAAGTAATGAAGTGATAGTACTTGAAATACCAAAAGCTGAAAATTGATTAATTATGCCAATTAGGTAATTAATATTTTACATATCTGTCTGTGCATCATCCTATGTATCTATGTAAGTTTCATTGAAATGTGATGATTAGTACCTGAGATGTTATTGGAAAAGCCGAAAATTGACTAATCATTATGCAAATTAGGTTAATTATATGCATGGATTTTTACCAAAAACTAATCATATCTGCGCATTAGTCCAGAGCATCTATGTGCCAAGTTTCATCAAAATCCAATGAATGGCTCTTTAGATATCAGTGGAACACCTAAAAATTAGCTAATTATCATGCAAATTAGGTAATTAGTATGCATGGTTTCAACCAAAACCGGAACAAATCATTACCCCAGAGCATTTATGTACCAAATTTCATTAAAACTCAACATACAATTCTTGAGATATCCGTATACACACATACATACAGACAGGCTAACTGCAAAGACATGGGAGTAAAAAATTGAGTGATTATTATGCTAATTAGGTAATTAATATGCATAAATGTTAACTTAAACTCATCAGGTTTGTTGATTATCTTGAGGTACATGCATATATTTCATGTATGTAAATAGGTCTCTGTGTGGTAGTTGAGCGCGGTAACTGAGCGTCTCAGTTTTCACGAAGATACAAGCTGAGCGTACGTTCACTTTCAAAAGTAAGCGTGGAGCCAAACAATGGAAAGCTTGAGTGCGCTCACTTTTAAAAGTAAGCGTGGGGACAAACCATGGAATGCTGGTGATGTAATAAAAGCTACGCTCATTTTAACATGAAGTTGATACAAGTTCACATATTCACTTGAGAGGACGTTTGTTAAAACAAAGCAATCATGTTTAATTAAATATTCACGCAGTTTGACCCCTATGACCTTGTAAGAAGGATGCATCAAAAAGTAGTCTTTCTATATTCATCGTGTCAGCTTTCTGAAGATGCAAGTTGAGAGTACGCTCACTTTCAAAATTAGGCATAAAGTCATACAATGGAATGCTTGAGATAGTTTACTTGTAAATTGAAGTTTTGCGCCACAATTAATACCTAGACCGAGGTCTGTCCATCTTATTGTTTATTGTGTAATCGGCGGCGTTTTACGTTACAGATGGATGAATCACGGTTACTAAACCGTGGATGAATGGAGATGTCTGTTTCTGTCACTTGTGGACAACTAACCAGTAGTCCCAACAAATATGGGTGGGATGAGAAGCATTATATGTATCAATAAATCTGTTTCCATGTCTGTTAGATGAATACGGCCAACTAAATATTGAGTTTTCAATAAAAAAAGCAGCGTACAAGTGACTGTGCGTAACTCCGCTGTTTTGCCGCACGTCAAAGTATCGGCTTATTTGTTGTTATCACAGTGGGTGACGGCTGTGTTTTAAATTCAGACAAAAATCATCGCGGTTATAGGCAAAATGCCAGTGCCTGGTGATTGTTTTTTTTTATGCGAGGTTACAACGGATAGAGCTGTTTTTAATTCCAGCTGAAGTCACAAACCCAGGATTACGTTTGGTGATTGACACTGTGACGCGATGTCCAACATTGAAAGCCAAAGACTACCCCCACCATCCCCACCCCAGACCCTGTTGAAAGAAATGAACGGTTTCATAGTACTTTTTCAACAAATAGATTGATAATTG